TCCCTAGATTGCCCAGGTTGGTCTTGAACTCCTGGACTCAAGTGATTCTCCTGCCTTGGCCTCCCAAAATGCTGTGGGATTACTTGCATAAGCCACTGCACCTGGCCTATTTAACCATCCTGAAAGTATTTTACGAGAGGCTATTAATATTTTGAGAGAAAAGATAAAGGAGAGCAAATACCAAACATGCAAATAAGAAGAGAAATTTAAAAAAAAAAATCAATGAAATCTTCAAAGCCAAAATGTTTTCAGGTACTACCCCATTTCTGGGGACCCTGGGGTCAGTCACTGCAGGAGCACTTGGCCTTTACCTGATTTCCTCCTTCTCAGCTGCTTCCATGACTTCTCTATCACTCCGAACAGCTTCCAGCTCTTAGGCCAAGGCCCTGGGCGATCTTTTAAAAAAGCCAATTAGCTGTCCTTCTAAAATTACAATCAGCACTTCACCTTCAAGTTTCTGAGAAGGCAGTCCCCCTCCAGATCCTCACGGAGTGACAGACCTCAAGTCTTGCTCCTGGAATTTTTCAGGCCCAAACTAGCGTTTCTACAATGATTTATTTGGCAAATTTGTCTTGATTATGAGCAGCTGAGGAGGAAAGTGCTTTTGTTAGAAACCGAAACTGTCAGTGCGGTGGTGAGGGCAGGTAAACAATAAACCGTCGAGGGTAAAAATCAAGAGCGTGAGAACCGGGAAATGCCAAGACGGTCTCCCTGATTGGGACGAAGCATCTGCAGGTCTATCTCAGTGACAGGGTCACGCCACGGATTTTCAAAACTGACCCTCTCTGTACCAGTTTTCGGTGAAAAGTGGGAAGTGTCGGCCCAGTCTGTGCTGGAGTTTAGGTCACCGGCCAGACTCTACTGCAGCATCGTACTCCCCAGGACTAGAAGGTGACTCGAAGGTACACTACCCAGTCTAGGGATCGCGTGTACTCCACCACCGCCGAATTCCAGCCTTTGCTTAAATACCACCCAAACCGGAGAACTCACTACTAGATGCCAATCAGGTAGCCAGACTTAGGGCTTTTCTAGACTTTCTGGCCCCAAAGTTTGACAGACTTAGAAGGGATGAGGGGCAGGGGCGGAGCGGGAGAAGTAGAGAGACAACTCCCGCAAGCGGTGCCTGCCTGGTCCCCCAACTCTTTAAGGGTCGGGAGAGACAAAAGACCCAGGACAGGATGGCATCTGGTGATCTCCCTAACCCAGCTGACCAGGTTCCAACGGGACGACGCCTGCGCTGTAGGTCCAAAGTCTCAAGGCGCACAGACGACTCTGTGAGGGAGGGGTCGCTAGTTCACACAGCAAACAAAAACCGCGAGGTTTCCAGGACCCGGATAATCCCGCCCTGAGAGCAGAGCCGGAAGAAGGCGGGACGAACCGGAAGAAGGTGAAATGCTTTCGGTAGGCACTCAACGGCTGTGAAGATGGCGCCGGCTGCGTGTCTTCAGGTGTTCCCTGTCATCCTTCTGCTTCTGGGAGCTCAGCCGTCCCCACTGTCGCTTTTCAGTACGGGACCGGCACCAGTGGCTGCTGCCGACCGGTCCAAATGGCACATTCCGATACCGTCGGTGAGTATTCACTTCACTGGCGTCTGAACCTAGAGGAGTAAGGGGTGGGGCTACGGCGGCCCAAGGGGCCCATGAAGGTTCCGCAAAAGTCTTTTCAAAAGGGGTGGGGTTGCCGGGAAGGTCTGTTTCGTTGGCCCACTGGGACCCACCTACCTAGAGCGGAAAGCCGTGCACTTCTGTGGTTAGGCTAGGGAGGGGAATGTCAGGGCTAGTTCAGTAACAGAAAGGAGTGGTGGAGCGGTTTCTCCTCGGAAGAGCAGAACTTTCAGTGCCTACCTTGAAATGTAAACTCGATGTACAGACGGAGAGTGGTTTATCTTTCGGATTATGTTTCACAGAATCCTGTAATCCCAGGTTGGATAAGACAGATATGTAAATAGGAGTATTCATTTCTTTCTTTTTTTCCTCTGCACTTCTCTGGTCCCTGATTAATTCTACTTACGAGATGGTTCGACTTCGCTTCAACTTTTGAAATGGATATTCTAAGCTTTACTGTGTGACTAGAAACCGTAGAGATTTTAAAAATGTGTTTAACATGGGAATGGTTAAAGCGCAAGAAATGGCACTTAAAATTTAATGTGGTAAGGCTAGTCTTTTATTTGGACAATTAGCTATATGGGTTGAACCTTTCTGCCCCGTACCCATTTTAAATCTTATTTCAGTAACAGGTATAGTCCTGTGAGCAGGCAAAAACCAGATGCAGGGAGGAATTGCTGAAAAGCGTTACTCCTATTAAACCTACATTGGCCTTTTTGTTTCATTCTGCTGTCTCACTGATTGTAATGTCCAAATCTTATTTGGACTTTCATATGGCAAACATACCTTTTGTTCATTGGTGAAGATTTTTCATATTTTCAATTAGGTTTTTACTTGTCACTAAAATGGTTAATAGTTTAGTGTTTTTAGATTTGAAAATAAAACTCTGGTTATCTGCACATAGAATAGTTCATTTGAAAAAATGGTTATTCTGGGCAGTGATTGGTGAGTGAAAGGAATGAACTGATTAAGGGTTACATCCCGTAAACATTTAAGTTAAGTTGGGATTTATAGCAGCCTTAGATAGTTACATTATGCCTTGGGAATTGAAGCCATCTGAGGCTAATTATCTTTCCTGTATCTTTGCAGGGGAAAAATTATTTTAGTTTTGGAAAGATCCTCTTCAGAAATACCACTATCTTCCTGAAATGTGAGTTTTTGAATTTCACAAAGTTTTAATTGAATTTTAAAAATTTATAGGCAAATTTTTTAATTACCTAAATTTTTTAATTTCCTTAGTTGTGAAATCTAATAGTATGGCATTATCTAGGTTTAAATATTTTTAGTGTAGCTAAAAAGTCCTTTCACCGAATCATCTTCAAAATACTCATGTGAACTTTATTTTCTTCTCTTGTTTTTCTGGTGTTTACACTGCATACATATACATTGTGTATACATTATATATTAGCATATATATGTTATATAATACATATTCAGTAAATGAAAGCATATATAATGTATATATTAGCATATATGTTGTATATATTACACTGAATATATTCAATCACATCTCAGTTGAATTACATTTACAGTTGATACATTCTGAGAAAAGCATCCTTAGGTGATTTTGTCATTGTGCAAACATCATAGAGTAAAAACTGGATGGTACTACACACCTAGTCTATATGGTACAGCCTGTTGCTCCTAGACTACAGAGCTGTATAACATGTTACTCTACTGAATACTGGAGGCGGTTGTAAAACATTGGTAAGTTTTGTGTATCTAAAACGTAGATATACATATTTGTAGATGTAGAAAAGTAGAGTACAAATACGATATTATAGTTCTATGGGACTACCATTGTATATGTAGTCTTTCATGTACCGAAGTGTTATGCAGTGCGTGACTGTGATTATGTTGGGTGATTCCCTGCATGATTGTTTTACTCTGTTCTGTGTAAACTAAAGAGGTTTTACTTTTGTGTGCTTGTTAAATGTTTACTGAAAACATGACCTAGCTTTGTCAGGCCATTGGCTGTGAAGTGATTTATTTAGTAGATTTTATATTTACAAAAGGAGAATTTTACTGCCTCAGAGGGGGAAGCTCAGATATTATCACGAAACAGGGATTATGTAGAACAAAACTAGCTTGTCTAGTGGAAAAATGACTGTGTCTGAATCTAAAGTATCCCATCGTCTGTTAAATAAAAGCTTCCTTTTAGTTCTCCTTTTAGTTCTGAAACTGGCTTTAGAGAATGATCAATCGTGGACAGCTTTATTTCTAGATGAGGGATAAAAATCTTGATGTTCAACGTGTGATACTATGCATACTCTCTTCACGAAATTGGAAAATAATAAGTCATAGTTGGATGATTTTGTTCTTTCAATTGTTTTAAGTAAGTGATTATTAATTACTTATTACATAGACAGCAGGGAAGTGATAGAAAAATGTTTTTTCCTCATTGAGTTTACATTCTAGTGGGAGTGAAAGCAGCAGGTAGAATTTCTCTGAAGAATATACTGTGTCCATGAATATATAATCTCCTGACCAGTGACTTACATTCGATTTAGATCAAATCTACCCTGACAGTGGCCTTGTGAGATTGGTTTAATAGGTAACCTAGGTAACCTCATAACCATTATCTTTTGGACTAGCATGACAGCCTGTTTGTCTTTTATTAGGTCCGGTCTTTTTTTCACTTGTAGTTTGATCCAACAGTGTTTTGTCAAATTAAACCAACTGCATTTTATTTTATTTATTTATGTTTTTTGAGATGGGAGTCTTTCTCTGTCACCCAGGCTAGAATGCAGTGGTGCGATCTTGGCTCAATGCAACCTTTGCCTCCCAGGTTCCAGTAATTCTACTGCCTCAGCCTCCCGAGTAGCTGGGATTACAGGCGTGAGCTGCCATCTCCGGCCCCAGCTGCCTATTTTGAAGTGTTTATATTTCATTGTTTTTGGAGGATTTGAGGCACTTCATTTTTTTGTTGTTGTTTTTGGGGGAGTCTTGCTGCTAGAGTACAGTGGTGCGATCTTGGGTCACTGCAACCTTCGCCTCCCAGGTTCAAGCAGTTCTCCTGCTTCAGCCTCCAGAGTGACTGGGACTACGGACGTGTGCCACCATGCCTGGCTAATTTTTATATTTTTAGTAGAGGTGGGGTTTCATCGTATTGGCCAGGCTGATCTTGAACTTCTGACCTCAATGTATCTGCCTGTCTAGGCCTCCCAAATTTCTGATTACAGGTGTGAGCCACCGTGCCCGGCCTGAGGCACTTTAAAATTTACATTCTCTTTTTCTTTGTTACTTCTGTGCTTTCTCATATTTAGCAGTTGTCTTGATTTTGTACTTTTTTTGGTGATGGTATATAGTTTCCCATGGAATAGCTGGGACCATTTTTATTGTCTCTTAGAGCCTCTCATTTAAAGTTTTAAATGTTGTCTTTTAACATAAACAGCAGTATTTTTGCAGCCAAATTTCCTGACAAGTCTCCTGTTTGGGGGTTGTGTTCTTACTGGCTTGTAATTAGTTAATCTTGTCTCTGTATGGATTCTTCTGAATAGTTCATAGCCCAATTTCCATATCCTTTTTATCATTTCCATAAATTCTATCCAACGGGTCAGATTTTTTTTCTTTTTTTCTTTTTTTTTTGCTTTGCATTACTCTGATGACGGGTCAGATTTTTTAACATTCTAATAGAGTCCTTTGAAAATGTGTTGGTCATTTAAAAATTAGTTTGAGAAAACAGTTTAAAAGAAAGAAAAAAGGAAGTTTATAATTAGGTTGTTTCTTTTGTTGTGAACCAAAAGTAGATTCCCAAAGGCAGTCATGTTTATTTTTGTTACATTTGTATAAAGTAGGGAGACTTTAGTATATTTTTCCTTCCATAGCTAGAATCAGAGATAAAAGCGAATACTGACTCCTCCAGCTAATCAGTCATATAGTCAGATTTACCTTCCCAAGTCTTCAGAATAATGTCTTGATCCATTAGACTGCTGTGTTCCAAACTGTGTTTATTGAGTTTTGTGACGCTTCCATGATAACATAAGGTTCCTTGAAGCCTCTTTTAAGGTAGGCTTTGAAAAAAAATTCTGATACTCTTACCTTTGCTTTTGCCGTTTCTACCTTCCGCAGCCATGTTTACTTTTCGTTCATTGCTCTTTCTGTTCTATCTTGATATCTTTCAAGATCCAAGATACGAATTTTGCTGTCAATGGAACTATTATGTATATCATCATTTAACACCATTCAACATTTGTGAATATTGCCGTGATATGCATTTCTGTTATTCTTTATCTCTCCAACTAGCCTTTTGAAAGGATTTTTTATTTTTATTTTTTTGAGATGGAGTCTTGCTTTGTTGCCCAGCCTGGAGTGCAGTGGCACAATCCTGGCTCACTACAACCTCTGCCTACTGGGCTGAAGTGATTCTCCTGCCTCAGCCACCTGAGTAGATGGGATTACAAGCATGTACCACCACGCCCGGCTAATTTTTGTATTTTTAGTAGAGATGGGTTTTCACCATGTTGCCCAGGCTGGTCTTGAACTCCTGACCTTGTTTTCTGCCTGACTCAGCCTCCCAAAGTGCTGGGATTACAGGTGTGAGCCACCGCACCCAGCATTTTGGTTTTTAATAATTGGTTTCTACTTGTTTTTCTCTTTGGCCTAACAGTGTGCCATTATACCTTTGTATACTTGTGCTCTACTCAATATTTATTTATTTATATTTTTTGAGACAGGGTCTTGCTTTGTCGTCCAGGCTAGAGTACGATGGGACTATATAGCTCACTGCAGACTTGACCTCCTAGGCTCAAGTGATCCTCTTGCTTCCCTCCCCTGAGTACCTGGGACTGCAAGCATGTGCCACCACACCTAGCTTTTTAAGCATTCTTTGTAAAGATGAGTTCTCACTATGTTGCCTAGGGTGGTCTTGAACTCCTGGGCTCAAGCGATCACCTTGCCTTGGCCTCCCAAAGTTTTGGGGTTATAGTTGTGAGCTATCATACCCAGCCTGCTCAATAAAAACTTAAATGATAATATACTGGCTTTAATTTAGGACTGCTTTATCATGCCGAGGTTTTTCCCAGTAGAGATCCAGAAGTTATGACTTTATGGTGTAAAAATAGATCCATAGTTTCAAGAAATTAAAAACTGCTTACCTGCTGTTTTTCTGTGAACAACAATACTTTTATCTGAATATCCAGTTCTTTTTTGCATGTATGATTTCAATACCTTATGTTTGGAGAAAGGATGGTCTTTGAGTATCTCAGTTTAGGGTAGGAAATAAATAGGATGCAGGTTAACAGTTTAGGAAAACTGCTTTGTTGGGGAATTATCTTTTGTTCACAAAGATTTCTTCTTTTATAGTTGATGGAGAACCTTGTGAACTGTCTTTGAATATAACCTGGTATCTGAAAAGTGCTGATTGTTACAATGAAATCTATAACTTCAAGGTAAGGAACATAAAATTACAGACTTTTCTTGGACCTTAGTGGTTATCTAATTCCAGTCTCTTAATTTCCTAGAGGAGAGTATTGTGTAGCTATAGAGGAGGAGAGCTAAAACTAGAATGCATGCTTCCCAATTTTCACACCATCGACTCTCCAACTTTTTGGTTTCAGAACTCTCGTATTTGTAAAAAATATTGCAGACTCCAGAAAGCCTTGGCCGAGCTTAGTGGCTCATGCCTGTAATCCCAGCACTTTGGGAGGCCGAGGCGGGCAGATCATGGGGTCAAGAGATCGAGACCATCCTGGCCAACATGGTGAAACCTCGTCCCTACTAAAAATTAAAAAATTAGCTGGGCGTGGTGGCATGCGCCTGTAGTCCCAGCTACTCGGGAGGCTGAGGCAGGAGAATTGCTTGAACCTGGGAGACAGAGGTCACAGTGAGCCAAGATTGCCCCACTGCACTCCAGCCTGGAGCCTG